ATCACCAATGACAACATCATCACCAATGACAACATTATCACCACCAACAACATCATCATCGATGATATCATCATCACCAATGACAACGCCACCCATAAACTATCAACAGTTTTAACATCACCACCCGTTTCGATGTCATCAACAGCATAATCACCCATGGCAACATTAACATCATTACTAATGTAAATGTCATTGCAATTGAAATCATCAGCAGAAGCAACCAACATCATTCTATTTTCAGATGATTCTAGGACTAYGCAATGGCCTTCTGAAGACCTTTGATGTCGATCAAAATACATTTATTACTGAAAGAGACTGTGAAGTACAAGAGAGTCATCTCGTTGGACTTTTCTGTAATGACAGGTAATATTGCACCAGGTCTTCCAGCTGACCACCAAGAGGCTTCATCTCTACGTTTATTTAATGATGTGGAAGATTGGTTTTTAAACTCAAACATTAATTTTGTTTCAGATCAACAGTGACCTGCACAGAGTCTGGAGTGCTGAGAACCTGGGAAGAAAATGGATCCCCGGTATGTTTTGTGTGATAACTAAAAATGCACACATTTCTCAATTTTGATCCCCTGAGTACTAAAGCATTGAGCAAGGAAAGAAAGAGACTTCTCCACAGTCCAGCAATTTCACTTGTGAAGTTTTTTGTTCTTATGGAAATTTAATGACTTTTTGAAAAACCCTAATAATAATTACAACATGTCATTAAGAAAAAGTTTTGCTTTATTAGCATTGATACATGAAATGTGTATCAATCAACTGAGGCCATACACTACTGAATAATCCTCTTATTGTTATAGCTTTCAACGGTCACAGTCATCATCACCACCAACCTCCATGTATTTACATATACATTCTTTCCGTTACTTTTTATTTAGCCTCTGATGCAATCATAATGGTTGTACAGTAGTGTATGGCCTCACTTGATTGATATAAACTGCGCATGCCATTTAAAATTTAATCACAATACATTAATATTCATTTTCAATTTTTTTCCTGTATTTCTTAGATTAATATCAGAGTTGGTGATCATATTTCAATAATGTGTAACAACCAACAAAACCCTCACCATGTCGGTACTGGAGGTAAAGAAAATAACCTTAAGATCTGGGACCTGATTAGAGATGGAGAAAACATCTTCAAAGCAAAAAATGTAAGTCTCTTGCATCGTAAAGTAAACCAAAGTAACTATATTTACAGTGCGAATTGAAAAAGCGTGGGCACCTAGAAATATTTCAAGAATGTTTGTTAACCAATCAGAAACATTAGTGTTATTTTTCCGTTATCTTGTGGCTAGAAAGTTAATTTTGATTGGTCAAAGAACAATATTGAACATTCCTGGAATATTTCTAGGTGCCCATGGTTTTTCGATTCGCACTGTAACATCAGTAGTTTCTTCAGCTACATGTCTGGAATCTCAGGATAGTAATGGTGATAGTGGATGGTGCACACTTTACCCCTCCTCTCCATCAGTGCCCTATTTCAAGAGTATTCAAAACTGAAACTACATGGGTTACAGAGAAGTCGAAACAGACGTGGAGATCCTGAGGATTGAATCCAACCCAGCTGTGCCTGTCATTCTGGTATCCAAACCCTTCTCAGTTTTCTAACGAAAAAATTGCAGGCTTGTTAGTCAAGAACGGATGGCATTTTTGTCCTTCTCTATAGACCCTTTGTAAAAACCATGGACAAGGAATAGATTATTTCACTTCATTCCTGAAGTTATAACCCCCAGCATTTGCAAAATGGCATGCTTAAATTTAATAGTAACACATTGTGATTATGATGCAGGTCAGAAACGACACATTGGACTTGCGTGTGCCAGTGTGGGTCACATCCCTTGGCTTTCTCCCCAGTAATACGTCATCATCAAAAGTCATCACAGGGACAGGATATCACCAAATACGACTGTACGATACTGCTGCCAAGAACCGACCTGTCATGTCAGTAGAGTTTGAAGACTGTCCTATTTCTGCTCTGGCTGTCACAAACCAAGAACAGTGAGTATACTGAGTAGATGGTTCCCTTCTAGTATGATAACACCGCATTACGTCTGATTTGAATTTTCTTTTGGTTTTCCTCCATTCTTTCTTCAGTTTCCATGGTAACCATTTATTCTTAACAAGGAGCCACTCATCTGATATCTTTGTACTATGATCTGTTTTTGTTATTATAGTGAAGTGATAATAGGGAATACTGCTGGTACAATGGCAGCACTTGATCTAAGGAAAGGTAAAACATGTTGCTGTTATCCATATTGGTTTTCTTTAACACAATTTTTTTTCTTCATTTCTTTGGTCTCATCAACCAACATGCTGTCTTAGCTTTTCTTGTTTCATTCTCTTGGAAGTCTCCGTTACAGTTAAAAGGACACTTGAACACTTTACAAGTTATTTTTTCCTTAACTTTCTACTGTTTCAAACCCTCTAATACACCGACTGATCAAAAGAAATCTTTTGTCAATCGATTGGCTAAAGGGATGATTCAATAGTATGTATTTAAAAAAAGTGAGAAAGAACTTGAAGTGTTCATGGTTCGAGCGTACTCAATGCTCAGTAAGGCTCATGTCAAATGTCGAACTTCACTTGAGCCGAACCTAATGATATCAAAGAAGACTGCCTTGTTATCCATCGTTTCTATTAGGTTTGGCTCATGTGAAGTTCGACGTTTGACCTGAGCCTTACAGTTCTAGTTTTCCCTCACGTTACTTCTTTTGAACAAACAGCTGGGCAGGTAGTTGGACATTTCAAGGGTTTTGCTGGAGGGATTCGCTGTATTGAATACTGTGAGGAAAGTGGACAGGTTGCAGCCTGCGGTCTCGACAGATTTTTACGTGTTTATGATGTCAAGTCACGCGGATTATTACACAAGGTATGATAAAAGTACAAAGCAAAAATATTATGAACTATAACTTTTAAGTAAAGCAATGTAAATAAGAATAAAAGGAAAGGAAAGAAAGGAAAGGAAAGGAAAGGAAAAGAAAAGGTGTAATGGAAAAAAAAGAAAGGGAAAAAAGGAAAGGAAAGGAAAGGAAAGGAAAAGKAAAGGTGTAATGGGTAAAAATTAATGGGAAAAAAAGGGAAAGGAAGGAAAGGAAAGGAAAGGAAAGAAAAGTAAAGCAAGGCGGGAAGAGGAAGCAAAAGATAAGAAGATGCGAAAGAAAAAATGAAGAGATGAAAAGAGAAAAGGAGGAGCTAGGAAGAAAAAACATGATGTGCATAGAAAAAAAGAGAATATTTTCTAGAATTTATTAGTTCTTCTGTTTGTTTAAATACGTTTCTGTTTATTTCTTGCATGTTTTCAAAAGGTTTATCTCAAAACAAGACTAAACTGTTTATTATTCTCAAGCAAAGATACGCAACATCAGGTGTGTTTTAGCTTCTAAATTATCTTCTATTATTTTAGAATAGTGCACTTTGCGCTTCCATCTATAAAGAAGTGGTTTCCCGTTGAAAATTTCTAAGAAATTTCGATATAGTTTGCGATTCGAGTATTCAGAATGCTGGTTGGACACCTATTTACAGGGTGCAATTTTATAGGTAATCACATGGTGACGAGTAAAAGGGAAGAAAAGGCGGGAAAATCCCACGACGCGCGTCACACAACCAACGATGTTACGTATATCAGGCAGTGCGAAAATCAATATATTATATATTATCAAAATATTATTATATTATAGGGGAGTGAGAAAAAATTTATCTAAGAAAATTTTTTCATGTCTGTCTCTACAAACGCTTTGTGTATATTCTATGAATGTTTTATTCGTTGCACTTCATGCTTGCAATCCATATATATCTGCGAAATATTTTTCAAAACTTATCGCCCTTTTCCACTTTAAAAATGCTTATTCTGCAGGATAAAACTACGATATTAAACGAAGAATGCGATGCAAAAACTAAAAACAGTGACATTATTCGTAAACGAGAAAGAACGAACGATGACGAAGATGACGAGGTGGATCGATTATGGGAAAGTATGGAAGTTGTGGGGAGTGAAAAAGAAAAAAAGAAAAGAAAATCGTCTAAAAAAAGTAAGCGACGTCAATAATTTTATCACTCATCGTCAGCCAGATATGTATGGTGATAATTTTTTTCTCTTTTGCTTTCAGAGCCAAAGAACTGACACCTTGAATTAAGGTAGACATAAATAAATAGAAAGTGTTTTACATAGTGGTAGAAATAATGTTATGGAAACGATACGACATTTTTTTCTTAATTCATATTATCGTAACCGGTTCCAGTGCATTTTACCTAAATGCTTTGCCCCAGTTTCGTGCGATAAATTTGATGTATATGAAAGCTCCACACTTGTTCACGCAAGACCCAAAAATAAGTTTGCGTGGAAAATATAGAGTTTTCGCTTGCTGTGAGATACATGAACCTTTTTAATAGTGTATTCACGTCTCAAATCTGAAATATTTGTCCAATATTTTCTACAGTGTAAATACTACTTATTGCTTCTGTAAGCTGATCAAAACTCGAGAAATCAATTCTTTGATGTACTGTGCTTTGAGTTAGTTTGATAATTCTTCAGTTTTTTTGTTTTCTTCCATTTTGATGAGTTTCCTCTCAAATTTCTTGTCCATGGAGAAAGATTGATACGAAGCTGGGTACAAATAGGGTCGAGCAACAGTACCCGGGCATCTCTGGAACACATCGGATTGTTTGGTCGTCTCTTTGTAGATGATAAACTTTCCAGTCTCTTCGTTGCTGTAAAACACCAGCACTTCTCCTTCTTCCCACGTGGGGATGTTGCTGGGGGGATGTTCGGGCAAGGAGTAGGGAGAGGGATCGGGCTCCTCACGTCTGCCGTTACACCATCCCCACTTGTCGCTGGTGAAATCCATCATTACCCCTACTCTCACCACCGCGTACTCGTTATACGATACTCTTTTGATCTTCCACGAGTATTTGCCTCCGACTACACTGTGATGCCAAGATGGGGCCATTCCGTACGGTGCTTGGATCTGAGCGCAACCCAACTCTTTGGCCTTTTCGCCAATCCCGAGAGGACCTTGCACCTTCCACATCAGATTACCGGACAGTGGTTTGGCATTGACAGTCACTTGTAAGTAATAATCACCCTGTCGTTTTGGTTTGTATTTGAAAGAGTGCGTGCCATCATTGTTATCTTGGACCTTGATGTCTTCATATTGACCGCTTTGACTTGTTGCTTCATCGTACTCGTGTTCAAACGACGATGTTGGTGGATTATCATCGTTGTGTGATGGAACTCGAATCGAGACTCGCACATCCTGCCCACCAATCCTAACCTGAATTCCATCTTTATCTTTGAGCGTGATAACGAAGCCATGGCACTGGTTCACAAAGGTATTATAAAGAACTCCTTCCTCGCCTCCTGCTAAGGACACAGTGGCTCTAACAGTATCACTCTGAACCCTAAACTCGCTCAAAAACTCACTCACGTCAACAGAATGAAGATAGAAGTGCCACCAAACTTCTGAACACTTTTCTACTTTAATCTCACTGAGCTCCTCGAGTCGGTCGCAGATTTTAGTCTTCATCAACAACAGTTCTTTTTCGTTGCCTTCTTCCATCGTTTGTTCGGTAAAATCGATGGCTGTGGCAAGACTGGATGTTGTCGTTGATAAATTTTCTTTCTGGAATACAATTTGCTTCATTTTTTCATTCTTCAGACTGTCGACACCAGCCTTCAATTCAATTCTTTTCTTCTCCAGAGCTTTGGCAAGTTTTTGGAAGTGTTCATCAATGGACAGCTTGGTGTCATGAGCACTTTTCGCCACCATATCTTCCATCACTTGAACTTTTTTCATTTCTTCTGTAAAGTTTAACATTTTAACCTTACATCGAACCAGAAGCCAGTCGATAACTCTTCTGTGCGTCTTCAAGGCTTTCTTTACTTCAATGCAGTCATCCTTGCTGTGATACTGCAAGATGCATTCCTTGCAGAAGATTTCTTTGCAGTCTCGACAATAAATGGTCTTCTCTTCGGCATGCTCGATGCAAACTTTTGAGGCAGAACTCGTACCATATGGTACGGTCTGGGGAAGAGCGTCTTTGTGGTTGTGTTTTTGAAGACATGAAAAGCACAAAGGCATGTCACAGGTCTCACACTTTGTAGCCGAATCGTTTTCACCCCTCAATTCGCACGCAATACAAACGATAGATCTTTCCAAGTACGTCTTTTTCCGTCGGTTTTTCTCCATGATGTCTAAGATGTTGTTAATGAAGAAATTTGACTCCAAGGCCTCTACATTCCCATCTGGAACCTGAAGTGTGAAAATAAAGTCTATTTAGTATAAGTCACTAGCAGTCTATCTTCAATGCTCCGTTCTGAATGGATGAGATACTACTAGGCTATAAGTTATTTCCTACTAGTACATACACACCTATATATATATATACATACACTTTATTGAAAGTCGAATTTTAGAGTAGCTTAGTATACAAGCATATTTCTTCGAGAGAAGATAGCGAAAAGTGCCGGCTTTGAAAACCAAAACATTGAAATTGACTTTAATTCAAAACTTGTTGTATTTAACTAAAACAATTAGTCCTTTTGCCATAATGGGCTATTAAGCTATTGACTCAATATCCATTTGGGCTTGAGGACTAATTGTTAATAATTAATGGAAACTGAATGGGTATGCATTGAAATATATTAAAATAAGTGTAAGATGAAATAGTGTTTCTATAAAAAGCAGTTTGAAGTCTCGTCTCATCTTGACTTGTCGTCCGCCTATTCTTGTCATCAAACAGTTTTAATTGATAACAAAAAAAGCTATTAAAATTAATTTCGCTCTATTCAAGTTGACGCATATTCTACGACATCTCTTTCTTTACAATAATAAAGAATCGCTTTCTTAGGCCTAGGGCAAACGTCGAACTTCCCATGCACCGAACTTAATAACATCAAAGAATGTCGCCTCATTATCACCTGATATCCATTGTTTTTAATGAGTTCGGTGTATGGAAAGTTCGACGTTTGCCCTTGGCCTTACTTTATTAAATTCACTTGTGTTAATAATAAAGATATAGAAATATAGATAAGTTATAGTGCTTGGGAACGAGGTTATTCCGGGCGAAAGCCCTTGGAATTAAATTCGGAAAAATTAATTTCCGACCTCGCTGGGAATCTAGCTCAGCTGGTAGAGCATCGGTAGTACAATTCCGAAGGTCGTGGGTTCGATTCCCAGCGAGGTCGGAAATTAATTTTTCCGAATTTAATTCCAAGGGCTTTCGCCCGGAATAACCTCGTTCCCAAGCACTATAACTTATCTATATTTCTATATGTTCATGTATTTCATTAGTGCCATGCGGTCCACATATTCTCATCTTTGTGTTAATAATACTAAAAAGATTGTGAATGTCGGGGTATTCACTTTGCATTCGACGAATACTAGTTAAATATTCTCCTTTACTCCGTCGAAGGACTAGCGTCCGAAAAGTCAGTAACTTTTTTCATCTTTTCACGGTGTATAATTTACCTTTTTATCATTACAGTTAAATATTCTGTAACTTAACTGTCTGTAATTTTAGGAACTTTCTATAGTTTGTTATAGCACATGATTAGATAATTAGAATGCACTCTGTACTGAAGTATCTCGCTAATTCTTCAGCACTCAGTTATTTCTTTGGTGCATTTCACAATGTGTCAGTCGGAAAACTTATTTTCAAAATCTTGACGATAAAAATTTTCAAACTTTCAACAACTTTTTTGTTGTAACCTGTTTTCAGTTCGACCCCGTTGAGCTGCGCCGGCAATGCTGTACTTGCGATGGTGATTAGAGATGACGATTTTATTTTGTTTTCTTTTTTCTATTGCCGCGAATCATGTTACACGATTTTTTTAATATTTCAAACAATTTTCCAAAGTCAGGTGACAACACAATAGAACATCGATTCCCTAAAAGGTTCCAAATCCAACCCATGTACTGCACGATTTCTACCACAAAAAAGTTATCCAGAGTTGCCGCGTGGACAATGTTAATAATAGTTAAAATGATGAAATTTGAAGGAAGTAAGTTCGAAAATCGCGAAGATATGATTTTATAAATCGAAAATTTGTATGACAACATTCATGATTGTAGGCTTCTCAAACGTTTTCATGAAAAAAATTACACTTTTCAATATTCTTCTTTTCGCGAGTTTTATGGCTTGTTTCAGTCCTTACTTCACAATATTACTGATTTTGAAATGCTCTTTCCAGCTGCTGCAATATTGTTTTTCTGTGATACTAATTAAAAAATACCTGATGGTAAACTATACTTATTCCTACCCAAACATGACTGAATTAGTGAATATATATCTTTCAATGTTTTTGGTTAAAACTCAACTTTAATATAAAATTATGAAAAATATTCAATTCGAAGTGTAAATATTGATACCATTATAATCCCCACTTACCTCCATTGTAGTCCGACATTGTGGACATTTCACAACGTTCGTKCCTTCACTTCTTTTCAAGAGCTGTTTTATGCAGTCTTGACAGTAAGAGTGATAGCACCGAAGCAGTTTAGGTTTTCTATACTCCTCTAAACACACCGAACATTTCAGCTGCTCTGCTATTCCATCAGCCAACGATAGCGACATTCTATTRAAACGATACATTTTCAGCTCATTAGTATAAAATCACTTGCAGAGGAGATGACCTAAGATGTTATGAGGATCCTTCTAGGCCTTACTAGCTTGCTTTAGATTGTTATTAATTTTTTATGGTTATGATATTTATTTGAATTCTGAACTGGTCGACCAAATTTTCTTAATCAACCAAAAAAACAAACAAACAAACAAACAAACAAACAAACAAAAAGGAAAAAAAAAGAAGAAAAACCTGAAAGAATTAAGTATATATATTTCATTTTCGCCTAGTAGGAAAAATTGCCGAAATGTTTTACTCAAAAGTACGACGCAATTTCGATTGAAATTCATTATTTTGAMACTAATGTTTTGTCAGTTGTTACGGTAACCTTGACAGTAGTTTTGAAACTTTCTATATTAGGACAGAATAGTAAATTTAAAATAAGCTAGAACGTAATATGATGAGTATTTTGAAGCCAAAGCCACGTTCAATTAGCATGATTGGCCATACTTAAGTGTAGGTAGTGAAAACGATAGAAATCATTTGGTAAACTTCACTGTCTCCGTGAAAAATAAATGACAAAATGCTTACTAAATTCTTGTGAAATAAAAACAAAAACATTCAACGTTTTGAAGTAAAAATGATGGAAATAAATTAACAAAATAAATGACAACTGAATGCTTACTAAATTTTTGTGAAGTAAAAACAAGCAAAAAATATTACTGGAATTTTGAACGTTAGACGTCCTTTGTGGAAACGAGGGAAGGAGAATCGAGTGGAAATCAAGGAAATCTTACCTTTTTATATAACAGAGCGAACTCACGGTGAGATTGCTTATTACTGATTCCTCTTCTAGAGATAATAGCCTTGTCGTTAGTCGCTTGGCCTTGAGTCCTACGTTCCACCGGCTGCAGTAAGTTATAMCGAAGTTTGGCAAACTTTTGCGTCATTCAAATTGATTAATATCAAAATACACCCACAAAAGACTAGATACTTAGGCTTCTTGTTTCAACTCCAGGCGCATTTTGAGACTATAGTAATTTATTTTAAAAACGTTCCTTGAAACTGAAGCAGAACGTAGCGGGAGGTATTCCTTATTACTAAACAGTGTTTACGTAAACATATACCGAGGGCAAACGAAATCATTTTAATCTGTTAACAACCTAAAATTAAAATTTGACCAGTTAAACGGCTCAAGAAAAACTTGCGTGGGACTTCCTGACTTTATTACACGATGAAAATCATGYACACGGTAGATTCTCTAACTCCCGCGTAGGAGTTATTCATCAGCAAAATAAAACCGACTCTCCAGGAACGACAAAATAGAAAGACAGAGTTTCTGTTTGTCTACACAACACAACGATCTCTCTTGTGTCTCTGCTCACGATACAATCACGTCACAATACAATCACGTCGATACAATCAATTCTAAACACACTAGCGCGCGCTCAACTATATTAAAATAAAACTGAAAATTGTTTGTTCAAGTTCACTTGGCTACATCACATAAAAATTTACCTTACAAAGTATAGTATTTTACCTTATAAAGCTTGGCGGCTTGAAATTACGTCTTGGAAAAGTATGGGGAAAAAATTTTGACTTTGAGGGCGTGGCCACGTGACCTTGCTCCAATGATTTCAAATCAAATTTCTAATAAGCAATAACCTTGTGCACCCCATGGATTGGCTGTTGTGCGGGCGGTCGTGGGTTCAAGGTCCGGGCTGGGCAAACAATCTATGCTGGTTTTACTCTAAAAATTTTTGCAAATGGTTAGACCTTCGTCGTGGTTCGGATGACCACGTAAGATGGCGGTCTTGGCTCATTTAGGGACATTAGGGCATAAATAGGACTACTTGTTTGAAGACACTGGTTTATTGGAACCTATTAGTGGTGAGTTGCGAATAGCTACAGTTAAATAAATAAATAAACAGAGTTAGTCATTGCACAGCGGGGTAAATATTATTAATGGAAAATCGGTACTGTCTTAATTAATCAATCGCGAAGCATCCGAACTTATCAATTCTGATGACATACCGTTTGTATAATTATCAGTTTGATTTGGTGGTAAGTAGAAAATCTGGCTGTGATTCGTTTCTAGTTCCTCCTCGACCTTCAAGACGGAGAAGGCACTAGGAAATAGAATGKGAAGTCCGTATAAATACTAGCTTTTACAGAACAAAACCTTTGCCATTTTCGATTGGCGTGATACGTTTTTCGCGACAAGTGTCAACTGCGCTAGTCTTCGCAGCCGTCATTGGTTTCGGTCCCAGATCCTCACGGGCCCTCTGGATGCGCATGGTCAGAAAATCACGAACAACGGATCACCACTTGCACAATAGCATACGTAAGTTGAGGGAAATAAGTTCCCTTTACTAACTATGCTTGCACTAGGCAATGAGATCCCAACGAAAACAGAAGAACACTTTTATATCCCTCGCCGACTAAGTCAGTCAGTTCACATCACTTGCATATCTCATATGTCAGTATGTTAAAGCCAAAGAGAAGTTATCATACGAAAATTCTATGGAGGAAAATTCTATGCATTTTCAGGTGATGCGCGTTTGCTACCATTTTCCCGCCAATTTCTTGAGCATGCGCAGTAGCTTTTCACGAAACCGAGGAGCAACGGGATCGAAAATGGGTATACTTAGTGCTTTTCTTAATTTATTTGTTGCGTGCCTACCTTTTTGCGGGTTAACAGAGACCACCAAAGCAGACTTGTCACTGGGAGGCTTACCTCGATGATTGCGGAGGCGTAACTGTCGTCACGTCGGTCCTTTTTTTTTTACTTCCTTGGCATTTTTAGATATTTGGGGTGAGCCGGAATAGGTAAGTCGGTGAGCCGGGGGCAAAGCGTCACCACCTTAAGAGGTGTTTGAATATCGGATGAAAGAATCTTTCAATTGTTTGAAATAGCTTCAAAAACCATTAAAGATTCAAKATGAAAGATTAAGACGTGAATTTACAATATATCTGGGAGGCTTTGCAAACCCTACTCTATAATTTTTGGAGCAATGAATGATTAAATAATTTTAAAAGAGAAAGAGACACTAAATTTCCCCGTATATTTATTGACTWTTTGTGTTTCTTTTTTGGGGGGAGAAAAAGGGAGGTTAAAGAGAAATGAACTATCTGTACCCTTGAAGCCCAGAGAAAAGTTCTACAAATTTTACACTGCTAATATTCCTATACTTTGGTGAAGTTACGTAAAGTTGACACTATTCTCAATATGGAGGGAACTTGAATAACTTCAATTTGTAAACATAACCCGGACAGCAGGGGTTCTGTAACTGGAAGGATATTTGCGTTAGCAGACTAGTGGGCTTTGACTTAGGGCGAGGAAGGGGGTGGGGGGCTTATAATCGGATTTTTACGGTACTTAGTTAATAGACACCTAGTTTTTTATTAATTTTGGAAGTTGCCTAAACGTTTTTAAAACTGTACACATGGCATCCAAAAGTACACCGTCTCTCTTTCTTGAATTAAAATGTTCAAGKTTGTGTACATTGGCATCAAATCTTTACTAGACTATAGCACTATTGTTTTGTATCTAAATAGATCCAGGGTTTTTATGAGGGGGGGGGGGTCTCAGGGGTAAATTTTGTGGGCAAAGGAATCCCAGTCGCATTTTTACCACAAGAAGCCCATTTGACCTCAGAAATGACAGGGGGGTCGCGACCCCCCGACCCTCCACCTGGATCCGCCCTTGCTACCTAACCGTTACTTTTTAAAATGAAGTTCCTTTTTGAAACAAAAGGTCTACGTTCACGTGTCACGTGTCAAGGGTTTAGTTTCTGAGTACGAAAATATAGTCCAAGTATGACATTTATTATTATTTTTATTAACACAGTCAAAACGTTTGGTTCAGGCACCAGTGTGGTTATAATTATTCGCTATCAATCATTTACAAGGGTATCGTTATTAGGAGATAGGTCCTGGCGGCACACCCCTACCAAAGTTGGGGTGGTAGTACCCCCCATCCCCGGGAGATATCTGCAATCTTTTACAGTAATTTTTCAGTTATTTGTTAAGTTTTGTTAAAGGTATATTGACAGGCGAAGCGATACACACCTATCACAAACGAGCGAAAAATTACAAACAAAAACAACTGTTATAAACATCTGGGCCCGGTTGTATGAAGGGTGAATATCGCTATCCAATGGATAAATCCTATCCAGTGGCAGGCCCGTAGCAGGGGTAAAACTAGTATTGGGGGAGTTCGTTTTGAATCATTTGAATGGTTTCTTTCAAGTATGTGCTTTTTCGCACGTCTTGTTTTGAGTTTTCATCATTTACRAATGCCAACTATGTGAACTTGTTTTGGAAAAATCAGGCCCCCCCCGGCTCCTTCCCCCGCTACGGGCCGGAGTGGATAAGTTAAGTCGATGCGGTTAACCAATTAATTTCTCCACTGAATAAGATTTATCCGTCGGATAGCGCTCGGATAACCCCGTCCTTGGTCTAATGACTTTATTCAAAACCGTAAATTACTACTTACGACAAAAGAAAGAAGTTTTAAATAACTGAGTAATCGAGGTCATGTCCAGTGGAGTAATTGTTACTGGTTGAACTAGTCTCCACAGCTTAGCCTCTGTGTCGTCACTTCTGGTTTATTATTTTGGTTCATTCAAAGAGGGTGTATAACATTACATTGGTGGCTAAATTACGGACAATCATCAAGAAGACATTGTAGCGTAAGCATCAATATTTGGATTGCAACTCGAACCAAAACAAAGCTGGGAAAAACGTTCCTCGAGTTATTTCAATTATATCTTGTAATCAAGGGATTTTTTTACGTTTGCTGAGCAAATCAAGGTCTCCTATGGTAAAATGGATTTCTGTTCTTCCGAAGGAAATATCTAATGCTGGGAATCCAGAATTTCGTGTTAGAGTATTTGCGAACAGCACTGACAGATATTCGGCATCCGTATCACATACGAGTGTCCTTAAGATAAAGTTAACCCCTTGGATTCTACAATTACGCCGAGTACACTGAGCTCTTCTTCAGTGAAACTCTAGAATGGATCTATCCAAGGACCTGAGTTAAACCGTGTGCTATTAACAAGAGAAGAGAGTTTCAAAGTCAAAGTTAAAGTCTCTGTAGAAACGGCTAAATGAAGGAGAACATCCTACTGAAGTAGTTCAAGCAAAGTTTGAAGTGATTTTTCCACGTCATCGGAGTCGAGAAGTGAAGGTTTACTCCCTGATTCCCCGCCGAATTGCGTGATTTACTAGTTGAGATAAATCTCTATAAATTGAAATACGTCATGAATGAAGAACATATCAAACTGCTAATTCTGTGGATTTTCTATCTTTCTTATATGCTATTAGGAACGCTTATTTTCAACGAACTTGAATATGACAACGAGCAAAGACAAGTAAAGTATTTCAAGGACCTCTTTGAAGATTTCTACTCCAAAACTAATGTATCTAAATCAGACATTGAAATGGCTTTGAGCATTTTCCGCGACTCTTATTCTCTTGGAATCGATCCTTCAGTACACTACCTAAGCAAGTGGGATTTGGCTGGATCGTTTTATTTCGTGGGTACTGTCATTACGACCATTGGTAAGTCACATTCATCTAAACGTGCTTAAAAGTTCCAGGAGTTAGATAATACGCAACGCCGATGGCTTTAAAATTTACTTAATTTTTTTTTTACTATTAAAAAGATCGGTACTGTGCACTACGTAATACTCGAAAGTGATGGAATAAGCCTAAAATAGTCCCAATTGTTTCATTTTTGTTACAGTGCGTAGTATCTATTGAATCCTGTCACTGAAATAAAGGAAATAGAAACTCTATCTGTGAAACAGTGAAGACAGTTTTTCAGCAAGTCTTAATAATTAATGAAGTTTTATCTGTTTGAAGAGGTCTAACGAAAAAGTTGATTAGCGATCTCTCCATGTACAAATTTTTGTACACCTTAGTTTCCGTTAAAGCTTTATTTACTCTTCCTATTGAATTCGACTCCAATTTGCCTTTCTAAATGTTTTACATTACTAGCAGTATTACACACTAATCTTACTATCTTCGCAAACATGCGAGAATAATATAAATATCCCTTGAGTTTTTCGCAAATTAGGATAGAAATGATAGGAATACCGTGATATTAATAAGTTCAAAGAGCATTAATAATCACCGACAGACTTTCCAATTTGGATTTGTCATGACATGATAGTCGATAATAGTTCGTGGAATGTTCGAGAAAGCGAGAAAGGTCGCTTTAATTCCAATGTCTTGGAAATCAATTAAATTTTTAGCTAAATTCCACCGAAGCAGATGTTTTTATGTTATTGTTATAGTATGGTATGAAAACTATGCTATTAACTATTGCTAAGTTTTGTTTCGTTGTCAAAATAAGTATCGTCAAGGTTTGAAACATCGGAAAGTTTTCGGATTTTAGTCTTCACGACTTCGGGTTTTGATAGAAATTTCATATCAGTCCCGGCACCACTCAATAGCTTAGCTGACCTTGATCGCCTGATACACTACAAGTCGTTAGATTAATACCGTAATCATTTCCACATCTGGATTTTATCCTTTCTCGTGTGTTCTAGTTGAYCGATCAATAGCTCTAGGCGATACTTTTTTTGACTGACTGATTTTGAAGTCTTCGGATCATCCGAAGTCCATAGATCTCATTACATCGTTTCCTCTGAAGTCGCCAAAAAATGGCGGGTACAACTTTTTTCATTACAATCTCGTTCGCATCTAGTATGCGGACTTCTCAAGTTTGTGTTTGAAAAGAGTGGTGATGGATGATTACCTATTACCGACACAGCAGGCGACTTATAGGGTTTGCAGGCGTGGCCGACAAACCCCTTTATAGGGCTTCTGCCAAGCTTCCGGATCAGTCAGTTAAATTCCTCCCGGGATAGCGGTGTCGGGGTTGAAATCACCAACGTAGCCGTAAATGCATCGCGCGACCATACGAAGCTTCAGCATTCGATGCCTGGAAGTATGGTCTCCGGTTATGTATGTATGTATTTATTTATTTATTATAAATCGGGGATAAAATCAGACTCTTTGAGCACATTCGGTGTATGTGCGTTAAACTGTAGATGTGGCTGGCAATTTTTCGCCGCCTATCAGAAGAAAAAAAACCGGATAACTATAGAGCTGTCATGCGAAGACCTTCGTTAAACGGACTTCCCCCTTCTCCCCCTCCCCCCGTCCCNGCCCCCGTCCCCCCGTGTCCTTATTGTTCGTACTATAGAAAGAGGTTTGACAGTTCTGTTTAATCTGACAGGATTTGGGTACACAGCACCTGTGACAAGACTTGGTCAGATCTGCTTCATCCCTTACGCCCTTATCGGCATACCACTCAACATCCTGCTGTTCAATACCCTTCTAGAGCTAACAGTACAGCTATTCACCTTTTTTCTTCATCACTGCTACCGCTTTTGGCGGGCTGTTAAGCGACGAATCGCAAGACAAAACACGAGTTCGAGTTCGTGGGAACCAACTGCTACTTCAATAGCGTTCCTCTGCATGATTTCCGTAATTATCATCACTGTTGTTAGCGCTCCAATGTTCCTGTTTCTCGAAGGATGGTCATTCTTTGAATCTGTGTACTTTGCTGTTGTAGCATTCACAACGGTTGGCTTTGGCGATTTTGTTCCCAGTGGAGCTCACTCTGGGTCTGGTCAGAACTTAACGCTTCATTACAAGATCGGTAACTGGCTCGTAATCCTCATAGGTATGGTTTTTACCTACCCAGCAATGGCTGTAATGGCGAGCGTTTATAAAAATCTATTAAATTTTGTCTTCGAGAAGTGTCGAAAATTTATCGCCAAGAAGACGAATCGCGTAATTGATCGTCATGCTTCGTCGTCTACAGAACACGTAGGGGGGTGGACAAGGGATAGAGGAGGGTTAAGCGCGGAAGAGAAAGAAAAAATCACGGTTCGACACGTTTTGAAAACGTGGAAAGGATTAAAGAAAGAAAACAATATAGGAACGATAAATACTGTCGAAGCGTCGATACTCCGATCTCGACTTTCACCGAATAATCGAGGCGATCAAGAGAGCACTTCAAAAGTCGGCATAGCTGAAGGACTAGAAACAATCGATGAACTAGACGCAGCTGAAGCAAGGCTGACTAGAGAATATRAACAATTATTGAACGACATCAAAGAACATAGAGACTCGATTAACAATAAATCTGTACCAAATGATATGACTGCTACAGGAGAGAGCATTGGGATGACCAACGAAGGTATTAGTATAGCTATAAGCATTTGTTCTCCTCCTGTTAGTGAAAGGAAAGAGGTGCTTTCTTCACAATCTGAGACAACAAATCTATCGCCGTCTCCACCCAGTACGGACTAACACCCTCCCCACCCAGCTAGTATAGACTAAAGGCCGGCTTAGACGGTACGATTTTCGCCTACAACTATGATACAACACGCTCGCGCCATCCTATGACTCGAGTCGTAGCCGTGTAAATCAAGCCTACAACTCGCCTACGACAGACGCGAGCGTGTTGTATACGCTAGTTGTAGGCGAAAATCGTACCGTCTCAACCGGCCTTAAGACCGTCTTCACCCAGTACAGACTAATACCCCATTCACACCTAAACGTGTTTAGTTAAACTATGTTTTCATTAGGAAAAAATTTGAGAAACTGGAAACCTACAATATAATATGAAACTTTCTAAAATATTGTCACAGCAACACAAAGGATAGTTTACATGCATTATTTCACCAAATATTGTGCAGTGTTGGTGGATAGTTTTCCAAACCTGTTTAGTTAAACCACTTTTAAACATGTTTAAGCCTTGGTGTGAATGGGGTATAAGACTGTCTCCACCAAGCACGAACTAACACCCTCACCCAGTATACGGACTAAGACCGTGTCTCCACCCAGAATGGACTAAGACCGCGGTCTCCACCCAGTACGGCCTAAGACCGCGGTCTCCACCCAGTATGGACTAAGACTGCGGTCTCCAACCAGTATGGACTAACACCGCGGTCTCCACCCAGTATGGACTAAGACCGTCGTATTGTCATGATTTCTCTCCGTACAGACTGAGACAGGTAAATATAAAATTGTCACCAGGCTAGGAGAGATTGACCAATTGAACAATTGACTCTCGCAAATTTAAACGTACTTAACTTCAGTAACTACTTAATAATCAAAGCTCTGATCTAAGAAAATACATGCATTTTTTCCAATAACCGTACTCTAAGATGAAGTGACAATAAAAAATCTGAAAACTTTAAAAAGTTAAAATGGATTAATYATTAATTATGATTTATTAAGCATGTCACTAAAATTCAAATAAGARTGTGGGCTCATTTGTGACCTTTCACGGTGGCAACAAGCGCAACTTGAGTAGCAACAGAGTGGTTAGCAGTACAAATAAAAACAAAATAAAGAAACACGCATTTTTTATCTCCAACTTTATTGAACGACTTTTTATTTAGTCGAATATTCAGCTTTAATTAACGGTGACGTCATTTCTTGTCTATTTATAGCACTTGAAATGTACGAGTTTGATGAAATCCACAAATCGCTTAAACTTGTAACCATGTATTGCATACGTATTTGTCAACATATGCACCCTTTCCTTTAGGTTATTCAAACCTTTTGAACAAAACGAGACGAAATAAATGTAAGTTAATAAATGTTGATGTAATTAAAGATTAGCCATTAGGGGACAAAGGAGATGTAACATTGGAAATATATCTCCTTAGACAGTCACGCAATCCACTGCAATGCTGACTCACCCCATGTAACCGCATAGCACAAAGTGTAYGAGTCAAAAGTGTGCAAGCTACAAGGGGGGAGGTGGTCAGGATAATTTGAACAAAACATACACGACTTGCACTACCTTGTCTCCCAGATAATGACCGGTTACCCAACAGGTGTCGATTTTGAATATCAAAAATAGATTAACAGGGAAAACGGGAACAACAGAAAATATGGTTTCATATATAGTAAAGTCAAGTGAATCACTTCAATCATGCTATCTTGCTTCAATATATCAATGTTTCACCACTATTCATTCAGAATCAATACTAGTAAATCTAGTACACGTAGTGAGTAAGAGCGATGCGGTGTTGACCAAGAGCAGTGTTGCTGGTAAAAAACCTTCCGCATCGTACGCATGCATAATGCATCAGTTCCTCTGAATGTTGTTCAAGCCTCACGCGAGTTTTAAAGCTCTTGTAGCACACTCCGCATGTAAACATCACATTAGTAATGGTCCCCGGATCCCTGAGACGTCCTGTGTGTAGTGAATAAACTCTCTGGAGGAACTCGTATCTTTTTTTCTGCCAAAACTCTCGGGTTACGATTCCACAGATAGGACCATAGGTTCCCTTAGATGCCCGATCCTCGAACTCTTGGAGTTCTCGCGCTCTTGAGATAGTATGTCTACGACTTGGTACTAACTTCATCAAACTAGAACTTGAGGATCTCTTGGAAAGATTGCGGTTAATGCGGCTCTGACGATGTCTTCCTCTTGAGTTTCTGGAGCTACTGAGATGGTGTCGTGATTTGTATTCAGAAACCATGCAGGTTTTGTGGTAGGTCTGGTAGCCTGAGGTATGATGTTTGCTGTAATTTTCCTCGACACTCACTCGCATCTCATGATACTCGAAGCTTTCTTTTCGTCTTTTCCGAACCTTTCCTTCTGCAGTTCGTGAATTCCACGCTGCTTGAACACTGACTTTCTTACAGGGACTTTCCGTCTTTATCTGCAGGTTTGCTTGCAGGGTTGCTGACCCGTAGAGCAAGGCTGGGTACTCAAAAATATTCTCGACTCTTTCGATTCTACGCGTCTTGATAAGCTGGCATTGACCACTTTTCTCTAGCTGTTGAAACACCCAAAGTCTCCTGTTGTTCAAAGTATACCATTCCCACTTTTCTTGGTACCAAATAACGTCAATAAATGGAATATCATCAATCAAAATCTCTCCTTTCTGTAGTTGAGTCAAGGTTTCTTTCAAGGGAATGCTGTTGTCAAATCTTTCTTTCACGTATTTGGTAGTAAAGCGAATCTCAGACGGCTTTAAAAGCACAACATAAGAAAAATCCATGTTGGTATTAGACTTTATCTTGTTGTCTTTAAGTTTCGCTTTTTAAACTCGAAGTAAAAGCCCAATAATATTAGTTTTTGGCCTCAAAACAACATTAGTAAAGCAGACACAACTCCAGCGAGCGCACGTGCGAATGACAAGACGGGTGTCTGGGTAACGTAATCTCCATGTTGTTTATTGTGCACGCTCGTCCCATTAATCAGGGTAACTTTTACTCAATGAAAAAGTGAAGGAAAAAACAAATTAAAAATGTCCTCTTATCATTCATAGTGGGRAAAAAGTGAAGTCTGAAAGTAATAAGAAGTAAAACGCGTGGAAAAAAATGAAAAAGTAATGAATCGAAATTACATATTTTGTGCATAATTGGAATAGAATTTCACGTAACGCGAAGGCTCCAAATCCACACTTGTACGTAGCCCAATAACATTTTGTGTTCAGGTTTTAACACAAATTTCAAATGCTACCTAGCTATTTGATTATTTTCTAGACTTATGTGAAAATGGGGACGATCAATTTATTTTATTAGTAAAATATGAATTATTTTTCCACGTATTCTGACGGCTAAACGAAGTCGGGGACCTTCATTTTTTATTTGCTTATTACAATTATAAATATATACTCTAGATTAGTTGCATTAAATAACCTCTTCTATATGGCTAGATTTATTTATTTGTTTTATATTATTTAGTATCGTAATTAACATATTTTGTGTATTGCTCTCGATAAAAAACAATTACAAATGACAGTGTCTAACTCGAAAACTAAGTGTTAAATTAGACACTGACATTCTAAAAAATTAACTAATAACAAAAATATGAGGAAAGAAAAATGTAATTAACCGATTAATTCGTAATTAGAAGCTTAGTATTTTAAAAATGTAAAAAAGAATGTAAATAAAATATATTGTATTGTATTGTATTGTATTGTACACAGCAGTTATTGTACACTGCACTTTTGGTAATACTTTCGTCATCCAAAATTTAAAAATAATCTGACGATGTGATCTTTTGTCCATGAACGTTCTTAAAAGTGAAGAAACGATAGAGAGGAAAATACGAATAAAAGTTGAGTTACCTAAAGAATAACGAACAAAAAGAAGATAAGATAAAAGGGAAAACAGAGGGGGAGGGGTGGGAAAGTGAAAGAATTGTTTTTTCCCCTGCTGGGAGCCCTTTGTATATCTGGTAGAGCGCGGGGATTGGTGATTGGATGTTACACCATGAAGCCAAGATGGCGGTCGAGGAGTGGTTCCTACAGGAAGAAGGTTGCCTGCAGTTTAACGGCCGACCTACATCAATATCCTACTCCCCAACATCACACTGTTTCCTTGCTACGCTAGAAGATGGATCCATTGAAGTTTTAGACGTTAGTTCAGGTCGTACGTTGAAGCGAACCTATCTTGCAGGTACTTCATAAAAGTGAACATATTAATCGAAAGCATTTATACTGAAATACTATTTTCTAATTCTTATTCTCATAGAATTTTCTTCTTAGCAGACATCAGTGATAATATATGAAACTATAGACTGTTGCTATTTATGATACAAAACATATAAGCCTTTTTTTTTCACGTGACATCAACTTCTTCCTTATATACGTAGGTCTTAATTCCTTAATCTAAGTTATATACGAACTAGCTATTTTAATATGCTGGTTTTTATATTCTGTTTTATAGCTGATGGATTACTTTACTTGATTTTAGGGAGTAGTACTTCAGATTTTGGGTCCCTGCAATGTCGTTTTTGCCCTGGAGTAGAGAAACTTTTCGTTACTGATAGAAAAACAGTAGGCTTGAGAAAAGATTTGAATGGAGTTTTACTGTTGGACAGTATACTACAGGCACCGGTGGCTGAAGATTGCGATGCTCCTATAACCTTGGAATTAACCTTAGCTGATGTAAGTCAGTTATTTATTTAAAAAWATATATATATATAAATCTGTTTAATTTTGCRTAAYATTTAGGAAATGTAGAACAGTTTTTCTGTGCTTCCTTCCATTATACAGCTCAAAGGAAGTGGCGAAAGCATAGAAAATAGTGTGAAAAGAAGCATGAGCCATAGGCTGATAAGAAAAAGACCCCTTGCACTAATTCTCAATTTAGCGGGTCCCTTGTCTTGAGAATTGACATCTATTTTATAAATATTCCAAAATCACATGGGATCTTGAAACAACTATCATGGAGTCATTTTAATATTACTATGAAAAAATGAAAAACCATAGTGAATTGAAAGGGACTGTTGATTCTTCAATTGCAAGTTATGTAATTGCGGTCTCTCAGGGGAGCATTTGTGCCATTTAACAAAAGATTTCTTATTAGCATCTATTGATACTCTATAGACCCCTTGTAGCCTGTCGAAATGCAGCTCTATTTGGAGGACATCACAATAATAGGTTTCCAATTCTCATGAGATTGAAATTCTTTTGTTTTGTCCTCCAAATTGAGCTGCTTTGACATCACATGCAAGTGGTCTATACCTGGAACTTTTTATGTTTTTCTGGGAGGACTGACGTAATTATGTGATGGTTATGGGGGGAAATGGTAGTTACAGTGCAACTACTGTAACCGGGGCCACTTAGGCAGTTAGACAAGAGAACCAATTAAAATGTAGAATGAAAACGATGCATTCCAACTTTGGGTAGTGTAGCCAATCAGAAAACTAGCCTGCACAAGAATTGTAATTTGACCCTGATGTTACTCGTAAACAATGAGACAGCCATCATCATTTTCTCATGAATAAAACTGTTTTTGTTTGCAYAAGTAAATAATAAAAGCCCTAATTATTTTCTTGGATCATAAATTGAAGATTAATTAATACTTATTTGATACTTTGACAGGTGAAGCAGTTACATGTAGGGATAGAAACATGCCTGACGACAGCCGTTCCTCCTGTATTAGATGTGATGGAGACCTTAAAGGAACAGATCAAGGATGAAATTAATAAATATCAAAGCTTATTATCAGCATCTAATACCAGTGAATCATCATCATCAGCTGCATCAACAGGTTCTTCAAATGATGAGTCAGACAAAGCAGCCAAGGTACTGTGTGCATTTTTTTTTTGCACACCATTGAAAATACAGCCAATCAGAATGCAGGAAAGCTGTTGTATATTCAGTGGTATACTTCTTCCCAACAGACATTTTAGCCTTGAGGTTTTTAATTTTTGTGACATACCATTTGAAATTACCAGAAAATACAAGTGACTCTTGGGATATTCCATGGTATGCCACTCAAGGCTRTTGTATAACTCGTATACACACATGTTTCAGTTAAAACGTTTAACGTCAACAGTTTAATTTGCATATTGTCTTGATGTTGTTTGGCTGATAAATTTTCCCAGCCAATGAGAAATGTGTGGCATTCTATATAACAACACATTATTAAACTGTTTGACGATTGTGACAAACAGCATCGTTAAGTGCTCAACCTGAATCTGCTGTATGTGTTGCATAAAGAAAGTGCTAAAATGTGAAACATTCTCTTGCATTGTAGCCTTCCAGTTTCACGTAGAGGTGTTTTTCTTAAGACTATGCAAAAGCAGATTAGGATTCTCTTATTGAGTTTTATATTCCCTTGTTGTAAACAGTGGGTTACCTGTAAGCTTCGACTCCCTGCTGGTGCACTTCTTTGTGCATTTGACGGCATGGTTACCTCACTGCACAAGAACAACAGAACCAGTTCCGCTTTGCCTATTGCATCAGCAATGCTTGCAAGGGTTATGGCACTCACAGGTACGTCTGTGCTGGAAAAGAAAGGACAACCAGTCTATAAACAACTGATGTTTGTTGAAGCTGCTCGAAGACAGACATTCTCTACTTGGCCACACACTGATTATAAGTAAGTGAATCATCATTGTCATCATCACCACCACTACCATCGTCATCATCATCATCACCAACACCACCATCAACATTATCATTCATTACACACCACCACCACCACCATCATCATCATCATCATCATCATAACCACCATCACCACCATCACCACCATCAACATTATCATTCATTACTAGCATTGCTACCACCACCATCATCATCATCATCATTATGACCATTATCCTAATTACTACATGTATTGCTACAATCATCACCATCTTCATCACTAGCACTAACATCATCTTCATCAATCATTATTATCACCACCATCGTTGTGTTTATTATCACCACTCATGAATATCATCACTCACCACTATCATCATTATTCATCATCATCATTTCATCCTTCTACTTATCCTAATCATCACCTACCTCACCATCATTATCACCTCCATTATCATTCATTAGCATACATCATCATTATCAACACCATCATCAATATTCATTACTACCATCATCATCACTACCACTACTATGAAGCTAGAAGCTTGAAGTTGAAATGTCATATCTGTTTGAGAGTTTCTTTGTTCATGCACGTTTTTTWAAATTTTTTATTTATTTTCAGAGCAGGATTATGCAAATAAAAAAACATGGATGAAACAAAAAAAGTAGTGAAGTTATATCTGTTGTTATGATTGCCTGATTAAATCTATTAATTTTCATTGAAGGTGGGCCTACCCAGAAGCCATGGCTCAAGCTGGTTTCTACCATCAGGTTTGTGTTATTTTGTTGTCACTACCATCTCTTCTAGGATAAAGAAAAATAGTCGCCAAGGAATCCCTCAACAAGCTCCAAAACTCCCATTTTTATTTGTACTATCTTTTTCCTTGACAGCCAACATGTACTGGAGATGATAGAGCTATGTGCTTCACATGTAGTGTGTGTCTTGTGTGTTGGGAGCCAACAGACGAACCTTGGTGAGAACAAATATGTGTTAACCATTTCCTCTTAGATCAGCCCAGTTTCAGTTAATAGATTGTCTTTCTGTTGATTAGGTCTGAGCATGAACGCCATTCTGCAGAATGTCCATTTGTCAGGGGGGACCGGACAGAAAATGTTCCCATGTCAGGTAATATGATTGTGGCGAGGGGAGGGTGACAGTCATGATTGTGGGGGCGATGGTGATGATGATGATGGTGGTGTTGGTGATAATGATGGTGATGATGATGATGGTGGTGTTGGTGATTATGATGATGATGGCTTGAGTTAATAATGGTAATGGTGATGATGATGATGATGATGGTGCTGTTGGTGATGATGATGATGATGCTGTTGGTGGTGTTATTGATGATGATGGCGATGGCAATGATGATGATGATGCTGTTCGTGGTGTTGGCGATAGTTATCATAATTTGTTTCTCATTTTTATCTGGTTTGGATTTATTTCAGTAAGTCTAGCCACAACTCCTGCTAAACATCATGGCAATACAAAAACATCAAAGGTAATGCCCACTGTATTCTGTTCTTGTTCCATTCTTCCAAGTTCTTAGTTAATTTCTCTATCACCTTATATCTCTACAGATCACTAGTATTAGTTCAAGTTCTTGTCCTTGTTTAATGGCTACTAGCACTAACACAGGGCACATCATTGTATGGGACCTGTCTGATCAATTAAAGGTAACTGTTTGTGGCTTGTAATAACTAACATTCTTGATGATGTTGATGGCGATGCTTCAATGCTGATGATGATGTGACCAAGCACGGGTGATGTAGTGGTGAGATCGCTTGCCTCTCACCATTGGAGCTGTGTTCGAATCCCGGTCTCGGTGTCGTAAGTGAGTAGAGTTGCTTGTTGGTTCTCTCCTGTGCTTTGAGGATTTTTCTCCGTGTTCTCTAGTTTTCCTCCCTCCATATAAAATTGACTTCTAAACTGATTCCAATTGGAATCCAGTGGAAGAAGAGCCACTCTCTGGAATCCACCGTTAATCCCATTATTTCTATTATTATATGAAGGCGAKGGTGAGGGAAGATGATGATGATAATGATGTTGATGGTGATGATGATGTTATTGTTGTTAATGATAACTATATACGCCATGTTCATAATGTACATTATATACACCATTTACTTTATGATTTAATTATCATTGTTTCCACAAGGTATACTCACAATTCATGGTAGATTCAGAATCGAGTTCAGAAGGTAAAGATGAAATAAGTCATGAAGCACCTCCACCAGTCCAGGAAGCTTGGCCAGAACCTACTGGTAGTTTGGACCAGGAAGAACAGAACATTGTGGTTGATGAAACAATACAAGGTGATGTTCCAGGGGATATCACTGCCGTAACGCAAGAAGATAAACTACCAAAATCTGCAGAAGAGAATGAACAAGCAACTGAAGAAGAGACAAATCAGTCAGGAGAAAGTAGTGGACTGGTGGAGGTACATCGTGCACCAAAATCTGCAGAAGAGAACAAACAAGCAACTGAAGAAGAGACAAAACAGTCAGGAGAAAGTAGTGAACTGGTGGAGGTGCATCGTGCACCAAAATCTGCAGAAGAGAATGAACAAGTAACTGAAAAAGAGACAAATCAGTCAGGAGAAAGTAGTGAATCTCCTGCTAAAGAAACAACTGATGTATCCAGAGATGATGGAATCACAAAGGAAGATGATGTAGCTGATCAACAGAAAGCAAGTGAATCAGAAGATGTCCAACATGATGGAACTGTAATCAAGGAACTTCATGATGAAGATGTTGATGCAACAAAATTTTCACGTGCAGAGGAAGCAGAAGAATGCATCGAAGGAATAGTAGAAGAACCACATTTATCTGAATCTAAGGATGAAGAGAGTAAGTAATGAATTAATAGACGCCTTTTGAATTCCAAATTACCGCTGTGTTTCTTGATTACAGACTCATTTGCACYGGGTTAGCCTTGAGTTTGTGCAGAATATTCACATGTTCCAGTCAAGGTCCGTCGAGTTTCAAAATGTTTGTATTGTTGAAGTTGTGCATTCTTTACTTTACCATTGGTATTTATGAATATTTAAACACTGATATGAGGCTAACCCTGTGCAAATGAGTCTGTAATCAAGGAACACAGYGGTAATTTGGAATTTGAAACTGGTCTATTCTATTTAGCAGCCAGATTTCAAAATTCCAATGGTGTTTTTTGCACTCATACTGTACCTCTATTAAGTGGGTAACTTCAATTAAGAACATTTTAACTTTCATTAATCAAATTTTTAAACTGTTGGTTATAACTATTTAACTTGTTTTATGTTCATTTTTCAAAAGCACATGGCGAAGATTCTGAGTCTGCTAATAACAACCCCCCAAAGCTACCCAGCATGCATGTGACTGCCTCGGCAATTGTTTGTCCACCAGACCAAGATCACCAACATTTGAAAAAACTGTATACTCAAGAACACAAACCTGTCTTGATAGCTGGCATAAGTCCTTGTCAAAACCACCAGATGGAGGCAGATGCTGACAAAACACCTTACCTAATGCTCTATGATGTCTCGGCAGAAAAAGTTCCAAGTACGACCTTAAAGGATAAAGAGGTACAATTTAAACCAGGACCAAAGTTAAGCAGTTCACAACCAATGGGAAGTCAAGAAGATTTGTATAGTGTTCTTAGCAGYGACGAAGATTTAGAACAAGATTTTTTACCAATGATGCCAGCGAGTAATACCCTATCATCCCTGATGAAGAAGTGTGCGGCAGCCATAAGTGGAAGGTCGGAGCAACAGGATGAAGAATCGTCAAATTTAAAGCGTAGGAATATGATACAAAAAATTAAATTACCAAAGGAAGCATTAGAGATGGACAGTAGTATATCACAAATTATACCATGCCTGGATGGCCATCATGTATTGGTTGTCGTTCACTTCAGAGAATTGAAGAGTGCTGGTGAAATATCATCTCAGGGAGAAAATAATTTGTACTTTGATCATGAAACGACTCCGACATCCTGTCAGGTTTGTTTGGATGAAAAATTGAATGAAAATATTTCTTTTTACTTGAGGAATAAAGAGTCAGAGGGATGTTTACTTTTACTATACAGACTTTTAATAAATGAGAATAAAGCGCCTACACTCTCGGAACCTTTAGTATGGAAAAAACTATCCTCAAGTAATTCTTTATTCAATGTTATTGGACTTCCTGTAGACAGTTCGGAAAACCTGGACTTCTCAAAAGGATCGCTAGCAGATGAAGGCGATATAATCTGTAGCAGCCAGGATGATTCTGTATGCAAAAGCCGATTTGCTGGTGTGACGCAGGATGGGAGTATTTTAATTCTTGATGCTTGTTCATTGAATGTGCTAGCAAAGTTTTGTCTTGGGAAAGATAAACAATTAGACAATGCTTTTAATGATCTTGTGTATTGCCCTGGGATAGACTGCTTGTGTTGTTCAACATTCCAAGGATATTTGTACTTTTTGAGTCTTGTACATAATACAGAAAGCATAGATTCTGGTGCTGCGGCTAATGGTCTACTAAGTGGTGCTGACTCCTTGATTGGTAAGTTTAGTTTACTGTAAAACATGTCGTACTCCTTACCATTGTGTCATTCTCTTGACGAATATTTCATTAATATTTTTAATTTGCAGTCAGGGTTTATATTATTGATAGTATTTGTTTGTGGGTTTAATTATGTTCAGTAGAAGTTATGACCATTTACCAGTGGCCTTTGTCAGTAAAAATGATGGCTTGCATCGCACGATATCCTGGCATTGCCCTCCTTAGGATCCTTAATGATCTTGTGCAAAATCTTGCAGGATCTTTCACGTTTTGGGACAAGGTTTTTGTCAGGATCTTGTTATGCCTTGACCATGGCAGAGATACCTAAGAAACTAGACAAGATCCCAGCAAGATACTGGAAGATCTTTAAGAATCTTGTGCAAATCTTGCAGGTTTTGGCAAGATTCTTGTCAGGATCATGTCATGTTCATGCCATTATCCTGGCAAGAATCTTGTCATGACCTTGCCTGAAGTTACATGAATCTAAGCAAGATGTTCAACCTGGGTTTCTACTGCACCACTTGCCTTTTTATACAAGTATGACTACATTAAAACTCCCCTCCCCCGCCCCCCTCCAAACACACACTCACACTATAACTACAAGTTTATTACAAGATTTCTAAAAATCTATGTATTCATTTCCACAGAATCAATAAGTTTACCAGAAGATCAGACAGTCCAGAATTTACTCAATTTATTACAGAAAACTGAATTTGAGAATCTCGTGCCAAGGTTCACAGCTATTGTACCTTCTGCGTGGTCGGAAATGCAGCAGGAACAGCAGCAGAGACAACACCCTCAACACCTCCATCAACAGAGCCTGGGAGATGCAACACTCCACACCAGAACATGGAAACTACAATCAGAAGCTAAAAAGTTAGTAGAGTCTTGGTATTAAACATRAAGATGGATATTGGAAAACAGTATGGCTATTTTAATCGAAGTATTATGATCATCCGGGTGGATGTAGTCCTGAGAAGGACTGTTTGATGTGACTGACGTTTCGATAACCTGAGCGAAAGTCATCTTGTCAAAACGTCAGTCACATCAAACAGTCCTTCTCAGGACTACATCCACCCGGATGATCATAATACTTCAATTAACATTCATTCTCGTGGGTTCAGACCGTTCTATACAATAGTATGGTTATCCATTATCATGCATGTTATTAGACTTACTCCAAGTCAACCTCTCTGAAACTTGAAAAGTCACGATTGAAACAAGCTAAAACTCGATGAGGGCATCATGAGAGATCCACTTATCCTTTTGCAGGATTTTTATTTTTCTATTTTGCATTGTATATCTTTAGTGTGTGCCAAATTTTTGTACACTGATAAAAAGTGCACACATTATTCAGTGGCCCATTTTTGGGTAGCTAAAATTGGCGTGAAACAAGATGAAAAGTCCTTTTTCCAGTGCATATGATCCCCGGGGGTACTCTTGCCCGTTTAGGTTAGGGATGTGCCACTGAGCCCTCTGAATCCCGACCGTGTTCCAGAGTAAAAATCGCTGAAATTCATACTTTGTTCCAGAGCAAGATTGCTGAAAATCCTGTTCCAGAGAGGAGAGAGCGTGATTTCATATACCCTGTTCCAGAGCAAGCGTGATTTTATATACCCTGTTCCAGAGTAGAATCGCTGAAAACCATACCCTGTTTGGCGGCACGTACCCATATAGCGAATATTTGGGAGTACCCCCCCCCAGGATATGATCCTGATTGAGCTGCATGCCTATGCTCTATTCAGCTCACGTAAACAAATTAAAGTATGCAATTCTTTTTTTCATAGCAATTCAAGTGGAGAACAAATCTTTGAGCTTCTTCTTTCAAAGCAATGCCATGTTGGCCATGTCGACATCAAGTTTTCTCTGAATTCTTCAAACGAGAATTCCTCAATAAAGGTTTATTTGTTAAAGCCGTGGTCTCTTAAGTCGTGGCAACAGGAGAATGCATCCTCTGGTAGTAAGAAGAAAGTGCCAATTCTTTCTGCGGCAAAGGAAAATGGGCATATTTTATGTGGACCAATAGAACTGGAAAGGGGTCTGCACATGAGAATAGCTCTAACATGTCCTGAGCTTGTCAAAACAAGACATAGGATTCTACTTTTGGTATTTGAATCAACTCCACAAGTTAATTTGGAAGAGATTTCTGTGACAGTGCGCCGATTCAAGTACAGTCCAAAGCCATCATCTTTCATGCAGTATACTGTGATGCTTGAGGAACCAGCTTTCCATCAACGGCTTTTAGACATTGTTTGCTCGCCTGCACAGGGAAAAGCTCTGTCAGAGAAATCAAGGAAGTTAGCCCTTGATATGTTGTGCTGGATTGCAGGAATCTGTGTCCACACACCGATAAGGTACATTATTTTTTACCATATATTTTATATACTTTAGGCCAAGAACGGCAGACAAACACTCCCTCTTCACTCTACTCATAATATTTGAATAGATTTAATATATTTATGGAGAGAATAATGTGACAACTCAAAAACTACAAGCTTTTAAACTTTTGTAGTTTGTACCATATTACCATAATACTCCTTTCTCTTTCTTCAGGAGGAATAGTCTAATTCATCAAGTCCAGAGAAGGCTAGCAGATTTAATTCCTGTGTGTTTTCTACAATCCGGTCGTACAATTGCACATCAGTGTAGTGTTTTATTACTGTTGTGTGCAAGGTGAGTACAAACACAGGACTATGATGGTGATGGTGATGATGGTGATATGAAGAAGATGATGATGATATGATGATGATGATAATGATAGTGCCGATGATGGTGGTGATGATGAGCATGACTGCGATTGGTATATAATGATTATGATGATAATGATAGTACTGATGATGGTGGCATTGATGACAATGATGATTGTGACTATTATGATGGTGATGGTAGTGATGCTGATGGCAGTAATGTTGATGTCTTTCATAATAACAATAACAGTGGTGATGGTGATGATGGTGCAGGTGATGATGATTTTTACAATGACTTACAAATTTCTTGCACGCTGATTGGTTAATTTTTATCATCAATAAGAGGACAGACAGATAAAGCTGACATCAATGAGTGCATGCTCTTTCCGTTGGTTGTTTTGATCACTATGAATGAGAAGTTTTTATCGTTTTTGTTATATTGTAAAAAACAAATAAACATCTGATTTTTGTGTCTGTCATGGCATTGATGATAAATTTTGTTATCACATTGTCAAAGTAGTATATGGATCCACTTGGCTATACCTTGTGGATCCACACTACTTTGACAATGTGATGATGCAATTTATTGACACATAAAAAACTGATGTCAATAAATATTTGTTAAGGTGATGATGATGACAACTCTAATCTCTTTATCATTAATCAATCATTACTTCTTGATACACATCAATGAATTTCAGTCACGACCAATTCACCCATTCCAGTCACATCCAAGTAACATCCTTTATCTCAATAGCATCTTTTTGAACAAAAATTAGTTGTAAGAATCTAAACATCCACAGAGTCACCTATAGAAACATGATGTGTACAGTCCTTTGAAAAACTTTTGTCCCTGACCAGCTTCACAGGATCAGACTTCAACCAGTTCCACGATCAAAAACTTTTTTTTTTCATATTTTTTGTTGCAACATTTTGAAATAGAATCACTAGTTATGAAGAATAAAATAAAAATCATAGGACAAAAGCTGCAAATTCGGCATAAAAAACGTATAAGTTCTGTACGATCCAGCCATTCGAAGTCCATTCCATTTCATCTACRTACGGTTCCTGATTTTCCAAAATTAAAAAACACTCAAAATTCAGGCTTTTAGAGAAGGAAAACAAGTTTTAGAAGTTGGGCATGTTTTTACTGTACATTAAGATTATCCATGGCCTAAACTAGAGCAAATGCTAAGTCATTGAGTTATTGTATTACAGGCAGTCAAACTGGGATGCAAAGTTTGGTTCTCCCATCAAAACCCCTCCCAGCACAGATTTAAATCAACGGTGAGTAGTCAACACATCCTTACATCATCTATTGATATCATGATAAGGATGATAAGGTCATGCAGTTCAAGATATTATCCATACTCTCCCACAGAGGAATTTGGAATTTCCAAATTTTAGGGGGTAGGGGGTCTTTAACAAAATTCCTCCGTGGGGGGAGATGGGTATAGATAATTTCTGGAATTACACAAGTTATATAATAATTTTACAGTAAAGAGAATAATGCATTTGATATTTTTCTCTTATTCTCTCTACTTCATTATACACCAAAGGCATAATTTATTACTACAATGATAATTTTACATACAACTGGCACTGGAACGATTTCCCAATAGACCAGTTTTGAATTCTAAATTACCGCTGTGTTCCTTGATTACAGACTCATTTGCACAGGATTAGCCTTGTATCAGTGTTTAAATATTCACAAATACCAACAGAAAAGTAAAGAATGCACAACTTCAACAATACAAACATTTTGAAACTCGACGGACCTTGACTGGAACACATGAATATTCTGCACAAACTCGAGGCTAACCCTGTKCAAATGAGTCTGTAATCAAGAAACACAGCGCTAATTTGGAATTCGAAAGGGGTCTATTAAGGAACACAGATGTATTATTTAATACTAATTTAGAAACAACTTTTCTTAACATGTTTTGCCTGCATCCAGAAGGTCATGGGTACGATTCCTATAAGGGACTCTGATTTTTTTATCTTCAGAGCTCTTCTTTCACTGACAAGTGATAAATTATTCTATACTTCTTTCCTAGCTTATAAATAAAATTTCATCAAGTTTTTAATTCTTTGTTTTTAGCCAACCAAGTCTGGACAGAAAGGCTGAACATTTTAAGCTTGAGAAGCCATTTAGGACCTCTGTTCTGCTAGGGATCCTTCAAGTGCTACCGACCACCATCCATGCCTCATCAGCTGGGGGACTACATCATCTGTTTTCACTGCTAGTCGGATATGCGGCCCTTGAAGATATCAAGAAAACAACAGATGTTTGCCAAGAACTCTTGACAGAGGTGTCAACAAAGATGGATTCTTTGACGTTGCATTCTCACACTGCATTACAAGCAAGGTATAACCTAGCCATAAACTTAGATTACTTTCTGGGGTTTATGTTGAAGAGCAGGTGGTGTAGGGAAGAACTGGTGGTGTAGCAGGGAAAGTGCCCGCCTCTCACCAAGGCAACCTGCAGGGGAAATGTGGTTTGGGGTTTATGATGACGATGTTTCTATGTATCATTTTGGTTTGGCTGCAGTGGGACTGATAACTTTTCCCTTTCACAAAACATAAATCATTTTTTTAATCATCTGTGCTGTGATTGGTTGGTCAGTTTGTGCTGTGATTGGCTGTTTCTTTGTTATGTCTATTCAGAGAGTCTTTTTATTGTCAGTATCAAAATCATCTTACCTAACCATTTATAATATCTTTCTTCAGGTATGGTCTGTATGGATTACCATTTGAGCCAGTCCTCTTCGACTTGACCATTCCTCCTATTGCCGAAATGTCTGTCCCATGGACTGTTCCGGCAGCACCATCATCTTCACAAGATGCAAGCTATTCAGTCACACAGCCAAGTTATTGGCCTAGTACTTCTAAACAACAAGTTACATCTGCAGTTACCACTAAACCAACTCCTGTACCTTCAAAAACTACTGCAGCTGTTGGTTAGTTAATATTAGCTGTTTATTTCAATTATAGCGAGGGTTAAAACACCCAGTTGCATATAGCATGCATGATAGTGTGGACCTGTGATGCTCTTGATGATGATGGTGATGACTAGTGATGATGATAATCATTTGATAATAACAGATGATGAAGATTGAAGATGGTGATGGTGACCATAAAGTAGTATGGTGATAAAGTTTGCTAGTGGTGGAGGTGGTGATGTTGGTGGTGGTAATATGATGATGATTATGGTGATGAAGATGATGGTGTGATGATGATGATGGTGTGATGATGATGTTGAT